CGAGCAAAGGGTGCCTGTGCAGTCTGAGTCCTTCCACTCCTGAGGCTTTGTTTGTCTGTCCTGAAGGCAGGATGGCTCATGCTCACTGAACAAGCTGCTATTTCTACATTTGCTTCATGCTGTCCTYGTTCTGCTTGCTCCCTCTCTTTGTTTTCTTGGTGGAACTTCAGCCCCTGGCCTGGAGACAAAACTATCCATGAATGTCATGGTCCTTCCTCTCACTCCTGTGGTGTGCAAGCTCCTCAGACTGGGATCTCATCTGCAGAACCCTGGCAACCTCAGTCAAGCAGGGATTATTAGCCTTATTTTACACATTAGTAGAAATAGTTATCTCCTTGGGCTCTGCTTTTTCCAGTTTTGTTTGTTGATAGAAATTTGAGTGTGAAGATGGACCTCGCTAATCCTGTTTAGAGCTCTTGGTGCTTTTCCCCACTGGAAATCCAGATCCAGAGCCCCAGACACCCAAGCACTCCTGAACAACACTCAGGGAACAATTCAATGTGAGAAATCTGCCTAAAAAGAGGCTGAAGAGGGACATTTGACAAGAGTAATAGCATAAGAGGGAATGGCCTTAAACTGAAGGAGAAGACAGGTAAATATTGGTAAGAAACTCTTCCCTGTGAGCATGGGGAGGCCCTGGCACAGGGTGCCCAGAGAAGCTGTGGCTGCCCCTGGATCCCTGGCAGTGCTCAAGGCCAGCTTGGACAGGGCTTGGAGCAGCCTGGGAGAGTGGAAGGTGTCCCTGTTCATGGCAGGGGTGGGATGGGTTGAGCTTTAAGATCCCTTCCAACCCACATCATTCTGTGATTCTAAAATATTTGGGTGAGGGGAAGCAGAGAATTCAGTTTACCTGGACCTCTCATGGCCATCTCAAACGTGACAGGAATATTCTCCATCCTCCCTCTCACATGCTGGACAAGCCTGATTTCTCTCCTGAATAMAAACTGCCTTGTGCCCTGGGCGAGGTGAGGATCCTGTGGAAAAAAGTGCATGTGTTCATGCAATTAAAAGATATTCCATATGCACTTTAAGGTAAATTGATGCTGCAGAGAAAATACGATGCCATGAATAAACCATACTGCACAAACAATAAGGTGGTGGGGAAAACCCAAAAGAATTGAAATGAGAACTGGATCTAAAGAACAGCTCCTCAGAGCTGTGTGTAGGTGAGATCCTGAGCTACCCACAGTTATCAGCAGATTTTGTGGAGCAGCAGTGCTGTGCACCACCTGGGACCTGCACTTTGCCTCCTGTTATTTTCCTGCATTTCAGTTCAAAGGAAAAACAGGCAAGTTTGCTTATGAACACTATTCTTCATTAGCAGGCAGAGAAAATTAAACTGGGCTTCTTCATTGTTGCTCCCGCTGCAAAATTCTGCTGTGTTTGTAATGATATCCATCCGTCTCATTCGATTTCTGATTTGGATGTCACATCTGGCTTCTGTTGATGCTCATAAAATATTCACATCCCTGCTGTAGCACTTAAAACTCTCGCTGTATTAGGGAATTTCTGTCCTGCCCTGCAGCAATTACATCTATTTTGCTGCACACTGACTCTGCTGTTGTTCCCAGTCTTGTTTGTGGAAGGGAAATTGGGGTTTCTTGCAGAGTTGTYAGGTGGCATTCTTCAGCTTAGGAAGGATCAGTGACAACAGGAGATAAAGAAAGAGGCATTTTAGAAATTGGAAATGAATTCTAGCTAATAAAGTTTATATCAGTACTCTTGCTCCATACATTTGCTTTAATAGGAAACACAAATTCACTCAGTGAAATAAAGCACAAAAGAGATCCAAGTTCTTTTTTACTGAATTGCTTTCATTATTTGGCATATAGTTAGAGAAGTCTACATTTTTTCTCCACCAACCTGGAGGGCAGCTCATTTTGTAGAAGCGTGGCACAGCACAGTGCAGGGGCCAGCAGGAAACAGCTTCTGCCTTTCCATAACAGTTTTTTCCTCTTTCCAATGAAGAATGGTCTGAGTGGGATAGGAAGGTGAAGGGTCACTCTGTTCCCCAATTATCTATAACCCATTATTTCTATCACCTTTTTAAAATATCCATTTCCTCAGTAAGGTGCATTTGTAATACGAAAAGAGCCGTGTGTGATGAATAACCTCCTCTTCCCAGCAGAGGAAATGCATGGAAATGATGGATGTGAAGGCAGAGGACCCACATTATCATGAATTTGTTGCACCTGAGCTGCTTTAACGTGCTGGCAGCTCCTCCTTTGTCCTGGGGCTTTGAGCACGTGTTTCTTTGCACTTGTTGGAACTCACCTGGTCAACCTCTGCCCTTGGGCCAGCGATGCCACAAACCTGAGCTGTCCCCTGTTTGTCACCAGGAGGTTACAGAGAAGGGGAGTGAGGCTTTCTTAGGCATTGAAGCAAAAGTTGTGCTGGTTTTGCTCTTAAAAATACAACATTGACTCATCCTGCTGGATGATACTTTATACGTTCCTCAGTCTCCTCCAGACACTCAAGGACTTGCTGAATTTTAAGTAACTGATTTGCAGATTCAGCTGTTACAATTGGAAGTATAATTCCACCAGGCTCTTTGGTCATTCAATCCCACCCACAGCTAACTACAGCCAGGGCATTCCAGGCTGCTGTTTGTCTAATTTGTGATGTGTACAATTGACATCTGACATTTCTTGGGTAGGGTTGAGAATATCTTCAGCCTCTGGTTTCCACTCATGCCCTTTAACTGTTTGGGAACATGGAAATTGTCTTTCTGTTTTTCTGGTGGTGTGTGTCTTAGATGGATTTGGTGAATATTTGTTGTGTMAAATCACGATCCTTCAATTTGTTTTGTATTTCACTGTATTTTTCAGTCACCCTGAGCAGCTGAAAGCCTGGAGTTGTGTTCATAGCTACACTGTTTACTTGTTRTTTTTATTTTTTTCTCCTGCCTAACATGAATAAACCATAGTGTTTCTGTGTTAAATGTTTGGAGACCTTCCATCTCCCCAAAGGAGAAAGATCCTCCCCTTGCTTGCCTGATTTGCAGCCTCTCTCTTGTTTCCTGCCAGCGAACGGGACCTCGAGCAGTCAGCTGTCCACCCCCAAATCCAAGCAGTCCCCGATCTCCACGCCCACCAGCCCAGGGAGCCTCCGTAAGCACAAGGTATTACGTTTCTTATACCTTACTACACCTCTTTCTGCCTCTCTCCAGCACATCTGTGGGGCACTGGACTCATGGCCATATTCTCTGGAAGCTCAGCTTCTGTTGAAACAACAGAATTTCATCCTTTATGTGTAAGGGTTGTTCCTTTGGGCAGGATGGTGAGGACAAAGCATCAGCCTGGAGTTATTATACAATTAATCCCACCCAGAGGGATCAGAGGAGATAACTTGGCCATGAGATAATATCACARTTTGAARAAGTTATTGATGGATTTGGTTTCAYGTAAAGCCTCCTCTCCTGCAAAGCCTCCAGTGTTGGCAAACCAGGCCCATTAAACACCTGGAGCAATGCAAATGTCACTGCAGCTCCAAGGCATCACTTTAATGATGCTCCTYGAGATTTTGTTGTTTTTTGGTTTGGTTTTTTTTGTTTTTTTTTTAATTATTTAAGGCCATGCTCTGTTTTMCAGGAGCCAGGTGATTCTTCCAGCTGTGTGGTAATTGTGTTCTGGAAGAGTAGCTGGGTTTCCTGGTCCCAGGCAGCGTGGCTAACAGGTAGCACAGCATCCTGGCAGAGACCAGGAAACCTGGGCTGCCTCATGGATAATTCATGTATTGATTTATTTAAAAGGCACAGCAGCTGCCACAGCTTTTTCAGTTCCTGTTATTCAGGGCCTCTCTGTGCTGAGTTCAGGCTTTCATTTCCGTGATGCTTTTCTGGAATAGCCACTGTGCTGCTTCCACCAGTGTTCACTTGACACAGAAATTGGAGCTGGACACAAATGYTGGTGTGGAAGGAAGTCAGGGGGGATTCTCTTTACTAATCAGAATGTACCTCTCAGCCTGAGAGTGACTTTGAAAGCATTGATTTGAAGTTTTTGAAGAGTAATTAAAAAATTCTAGTGGTGCTAAGGTTTTGCAGTCAGGAGCCATGTGGAATCCTGTGTGGGGCAGATTGCAGGGGTCAAACTAATTCTGTTTAACAAAGGCTTAGCTGAACCCAAATGACAACTGTGTTTTCTTCAGGACTTCACTCTGTTCTCAGCTGCCCAGTCCAAGTTTGAGAAAACACACCGATTTTAACACAATGTGTCCAGATTTGTTATTTATTTATCATGAAGAATAGAATCTGGCCCATGCTCCAAATCAGCAATTCAGCAGATGCAATGCTGTAGACTGCACCCTAAAAGACTTCCCAAACTTCCCATCTCATGTAGAACTTTGGAGATGAGGATTTGCTTCTTGATCAAGACAAATAAAACTTACCTTTTGAATGTTTTATGTGGTTTTCAGCTGGCTGATTTATGACCTTTCCAGTGCAGCCCCAGGACCATTTGTAATCGATGGTGACTGCTGAGGGCAAAGCCAACCCAGCTATGATTTCCTCCACCAAGTTAAGCCAATCAGCAAATACAAATGAAGCATTTTAAGTTACCAGAATATTCATGCATCAGTGTCTTTCTCCCAGGAGCAATTTCTTGCTTATGATGGAATTGCTTTTCTTTTTTCTTCTTAAAGCTCAAATGATAAATGCTTAGGTTGAGTTCACCACAGAGTCCTGCTTTTTCCTCTTCTTACATCAAGATTTCTATGAATTTCCTTCCTGAATATTTGGTGTTTTCTTAATTTTGCTCACAGTCATTACCTGTGTGTGGGTCAGAGTTCAAAAAGGTCCTGGGAAAGCTTTAGCCCTTGAGCTGGATCCTGTGCCTTGTCCCACACAGAACTTTAAACAAGTGGAGTAAAATGGTTACCCAAGAAAGGGACACTGAAAAAACTTTACATTGAGCATTTGATCCAAATAATAAACTTGGGATTGTCTTCTTAAMCCTTCTAAATAGAAGTTACTTTGTGATCTTCCTGGAGATTTGTCAGATCAAGGTAAGATTCCTTATTTTGGACTTAGGTTTGGAGAGATGTGTTAAAGGCAAGGTGCTGCTTTCCAGGCATGTGCTGGAATGGACACATTGAGCCACAATAATAAAAAAACACTTCTCAAACTCATCCCTGAACAGTCACRAGGAACAGAGAAGCTCTTGTTCCTCTGTTCAAAGAGCCTGCCTTGATTTTAGCTGTGGATTCTGGTGAGCCCAGCCCCTCACCAGAGCACAAACCTCCCACCCTGTGACCTGCACAGAACTCAGCTGCTTMCTTTGGCATGGCCAAGGCTGGGAGCTGATTGTGAGGGTTAACACTTCCTCCTTTCTCCCTACAGGACTTGTACCTGCCTCTGTCTTTGGATGACTCGGATTCCCTGGGCGATTCCATGTAGGGTGACACGGAGCTCAATGTCCATATTGCGTTTGGGATACAGCAAAGGAACTTCTGCCGAAACAAGCAGATAGGTGACTGGTGCTTTCAAGTCAAAGGACACACAGTTAAATGTCGTTTTTGTTCTGTGATTTATCCTCTCTGTGCCACAAACCAACACCTACCAGTCTATAGAGATAGAGGGATACCATTCTTTCTAAGTTACAGGGATGCAAGATGGGCATTGGGAGAAATTTGGGGCCGACGTGCCACCGATCCTGTGCRTTTCCCATTTTCTTCTGTTTTTTCTTCTTCTGCTGCAACCATGTGATTTTCCTAGTGACAGTAGAGTAGCTCCCCTGGAGGTGTGCAGATGGATCCCTGGCTGAGCAGTTTGCAAGCTGGAGCGGGGCAGATGATGTTCTCCACCAGTGCAAACTGCCAGCCTTTGCCAGCTTTTCCTCCACAGCCCCAATTCTGGCACCTGCATTMTCACCAGTCTTGCTTTTCTTGTGGAGGGCAGGAAGGGACATGATTTTCTAGTTTGATGCTTAACATGCCAGCAGAAGCTTGGGTGAGATTAGGAATGATCATGTAAGATGCTAAGTAAGGTTAGTATGATAATTCAAATTATTCAATTTTTTTGGGGGGGTTTGTTTGGGTTTTTTTTCACAATCAAGCAAAAAAGTCATAAATCAGCTGAGTTATCTGGAGTAGAACACCTTCCACATGCAATCCAAGGATGCTGCTAGCTGGTAACAAATATTTATACCTCCCCTATGGTATCTCTCTATCTCTGTTTGTAACAGTAATGCCTTGTGAACAGCCAACACTGAAAACACTGTGAGAATTTGTTTTCAGGTTTGACACCCTATAGGTCACTTTTTATAGCAAAAAATCAATACACTTTTTATAAAGGAAAACCTTGTATCTGTGTTTTGGGAGTAAGGATTCAAGCTCCTTCTTTTTTATAAAAGCTGGTGATTTTCTTTTGTTTAAAAAACACGTTCAGAAAAAAAAAAGTACAAAAAAAAACCAACCACACTGCAGAACAATAATAACAGCAACTCAGTTTAGAAATCTTGCCATCACTGCCAAAACAGACACATGTAGGGGGGAAAAAATGGTCAATTCAAAATATTGAATGTTTTGATAGTTTTTGTAATGTTTAAGACTACGTATTTGGTTTTTTACACTTCAGTATTCCTAACTATGGCCAGATTCTCTACTTATATAGCAAGATAAATTTTGTGGTGTTCTAAAACCCRTATTTTAAGAAACTCTTCTATCTGAGAAACACAAACTCTCTGTATTTAGAGAAAGCTTTTGCTTTTATTAATCAGTAATGCCTCCTCCAGAATGCAAAGTTCATCTCCTCATGCAGGGCTGGTGGTTTTTACTGAGCTGAAGCTCTGTCCTAGGCCAGCTGGCATCRCCTCCCTCCCTCATGGAATAAGCTTGGATGAAACTGATTCTTGCAGAATTTTACCTGAATGAAATCTGTGCAATCAAGTCTTTCTTTGTTGCTTTATTTGCCTTTTTTTCAGCATAGACACCTACTCCCTCTTGCCTTGCAAACCCCTTGTGATTAGGATGAATTTTMCCCTTGTGATGTTCGATGCTCCACAAATGCTGGGCTGTTCCCAAAGCCACTCCAYGTTTTGTTTGCTTGCATTGCTGGGATGAAACAATCTGTGCAGGCTGCATCTCTCGAGGCTCGTGTGATCATATTTATAATGCAACTTGAAAAAAAAAAAAAAATTATCAGAGAGAGGCCAGGATTGGGAATTGTCAAGGGGTCAGAGTTATCATGCACCAAATTTGCACCCAGTAGTCTTAGTGCATGATCATTTACACCCAGAGTTTTGCACAAGAAACCATTTGTTCTCACCGATAACTTCATTTAATTGAATAACTCTCTGACTGCTAAATGGTCATTTTAAATATTGTAAATAGAATCCTGGGGTTAGTTCAAAGGCTAAGGGCTCGTGTCGAGGRTTTGTGGGGGAAAGGTGTGGACAAAGCTTGGGTGCAGTAGGCAGTGCAGCTCTCAGCCCCTGGCACTGCTGAATTTCGTGTCTGAATGGGAGCAGGTCTCAGAGTAACCCTGTGCCTCAATCTGTCTGTCTGTCCCTGCAGGGACAGCTCTGTTCTACCTCACTGGGGGTTGTGAGGCCAAATGTTGGTTAACATTTGTCAAGTGCTTTCAGATCCTCTAACAGAAGGTGCTGAAATATTCTGGGTGCAGATTTGGTTATGGGTGCTAATTTTTGGCTGTTTAATCCTGTGAGTGCTACTGTAGACACTGGTCATGAGCRAAAAGGACTTTTTAAAGTGTAAGGATGTCAGAGGCCGTGATTGTGCCGATAACAGTAATTATTCATCAGAGCTTTTGTCTTAGGAAAAGCTTTAGTGGGACGGATAATTTGACAAGCTTTTACCCTCTCCTCTGTTCTGTTGGTGGAAATCTCAGAGTCCTTCCCTGAGTCTCTGCCTTTCCAGAGACCCTGAGCAATAGCCATGGATGGRCTGGGGCCATTCCTGTCCCAGTCAGGGTCAGCCTGTCCTGCCACCTTTCCTCAGATAAACCAGGAGAGCAGCCATGCAATCCCATCCAGGTTCTCCAGCTGCTCAGGGCAGGAGACTCACCACAGATGCACCAGGAAACCCCAATCTTTGCTATTCTGCACTGCTCCTTGCAGCCTGAGCTGCTGGAGCTGCTGGTGGAAGGAAAGGAGGCTGGGTGATGCTTTCACTCAGTGTCTGTGAGTGCAGGATCCCAAGGGATGAAGGATCCTTTGTTTGGATGATGTTGAAGTAGCTGTTGAGGAGGGGTTCCCTTCCTTCCTGCCAAAAACTGGGTTTGGTTATTTGAAGATTTCCACTTTTCCTGGTGGAGCATCACTAAGGAATYGCTGAGCTCTTCCTCCTGAGCTGCACCTGGTGGCACATCTAAAACCTGATCCTGCCAGCTCTCCCTTGGGAGTGCAGCTTTGTCTGCATGARCATCATCCTGTGGTGGGGCTGAGCCCAGCAATTCCTTCAGGGAATTGGGGGGACCTTGAAAAGCCCTAAAAGTATTTTATAAAAAATTGTTCCRTGGGGAAAATAGCCATTCAAACCAGCAGAAGCCACAAAGAAAACAGGGTATGAGGTCAAACTCCCAAGTTTTAAGAAGCAATTTTCCAGGTAGAAATGCCTGGGCASTAGAAGTCAGTGAGCATTTCAGCTGTAGCATAGAGTGAGTCTGTATTAATGCCAATATTGCATGAGTTCTTGTACAGAAATGCATGTGGAATGTTACATACATTCAAAACTCGTTRCCTTTGGCTTTGTAGGATCCCTCATATAGATTTGAATACGAAGAGAAACAGTGCACAGGCATCAGACCTTAGTTATTTAAATAAAAGAACTGCCCTGATTCAGGAAAGACCTGAAAAGCCTAAATTTTAGCACGTGCTCTACTCTTGTTGGCTTTTCATGAGATGGAGCTTGGGTTTGGTCAGAAAGCTTTCCTGAACTGCTGTGAATTTGTAATTATTTTCAATATACTACAGCAATTCCAGACCCTGTGAGATCCTGGAGCATATGATAATAATTCCACTATATACTCCAGAGTTCACCTTTCATTTTTTAATCTTTTTTTTTTTGCGTTTACAAGCACATAAAGCTCCACATGATACAAGGATTTGCCATATTAATTCTGCTATAAAAACCTTGCCTAATTTGCCTCATGAGGCTGCCTTTAGTGCTTTCAGAGACTAATTGAATCGCTGAGGCTATATTGTTTTAAAACAATACAGTATTTAAAAACAAATTGGAGAGACTCTTAAAGTAGTAGGGCTTTGTTTGTTTGAAGTCTGCCTTTATTCAGTGTAATTTAGCAAATCTGCATATAGAGATCCCTGTTTCAGACACAGTCATTAGGAAGGGATGGCATAGACTGAGGGGTTTAGCATTCACTCAGATGATGGCCTTGACTGTAGGAGATGGGAGCAATGCAGCAAAACCTTTAGTCTTGGGATTTTTATCACTGGTAAAGCATTTATAATCCTGAAGTTTCTAGTTTAAAGCCTCATCTGTTATAAGATTTGGAGCTGGTTCACTTCCACCAGCTACCCATCTTGAAGTGATTTGGAAAGGGTTTGGTAATGGGATTTTACCTCGGTTTGCTCGGCGGTGGGAGTTGACAGCAGATTTTCCCTRCCACTGTCTGTGTTTCCTATTTCTGCACATTATTTATGGTCTTCTCAGGAGCTAGAAACCCTCATTTCATAGACAGTAGAAGAATCCTGCTTAGAAAACATCTGCCACATCTCTCTCATCCTTGGCTAACACACATGCAGGCACACAAAAATTCACACCTCGATCTGGCTGCTGTTTCTCTCTCATTTGCTGGTTCAGTACTTTTGGACGGAGAACCAAAAATGGCAAACAGCAAAACAGTGTTACACCCAGGCACTTCCAGTGGGAAACAAGGGCATTAAAGTGTTGGTTTCTCCTGATTCATGTGGATAACATTGTCTAGGATGCCTTGTCTTTGCTTTTTCATGCCTTTGAGGCCAGTGCTGCTCTTCCTGCCGTGTCCCAGCACGTCCTGTGGCTCTGTGATGCCAGGCTGGATCCCTACACAGACACTGGTCCAGGGACAGCCATCCCTGGAAGTGGCATCTTCTCTGCAGGGGCACAGTGTGGATTTCACTGAAGTTTGACCCTTCCCCAGGGTGCTGAGAGCACCTGAGGGATTTTGTCACCGACCTCCGCGATGCCCCCCAGCCGCATAAAGTGAGAGTTCTCTTCTACTGTGGTAGAGGCAGAATCACCTTTAGAGAAAGGAATAAAAAATAGCCGAGTAAAGTAGATATTAAATTAGTCTAGAAAGTGTCTCCTCAAGCTAAGACAATCCCAAACCAGAGAAAAGCTCTGTGGAGGTGTGTTTGCCACAGGCCAGGTGTCGGTCATGACCATGATGGAACAAAACAGCTGCATTTTCACGTGGTGACTTARGCTCCAAGTGGTTTTTCTGGTTGCTGATGGAAGCAGGCTGGGACAGTGTTTGGGACTGGTGAGGTTCTTTGTAGAAGCAAATGGATGGCACGGGATGCAGATCTTTTTTCTGTGTATCTGGATAAAGAGTCAGGTCAGTGCACACAACAGGAGAAGTGCTTTGCACAGGATACCTGGATCAGCTGAAACCCCACCTTGGTGGAATGAGAGCAGGAAGGTGAAAACTTTAAGTGCCTTCTAAGATGCTTTGGGCTTTGAAGCAGGACTGTGCATGTACCCAGCAAGGCCTGGGGGACAATGTCTTGASCAAAGGAGACAATGCACACTTTAATTCTCGAGGTGGCTAGTCCATCTCTTGAAAATTGCTGTCTCCARAATCACAGATTTCTTCTGGCTGATGCCTCTGTCCCAGCTGCATGAATCTGAGCCTCTCCACAGTATCTCAGGAAATGTTAAAGCTGAGTCTCACACCTCAGCTTCTCCTCACTGTGGAGTGAACAGGGCTGGGTTCTGCTGCAGTGGTTGTTGATTCTGCTGTTCAGGTGTTCTTCATCCTCCTCCTGTGCTCCAGAGCTGGTGTCTCCTGCAGGTGAAAGGTTGGGAGCAGCAAGGTGTGGACCCCTCTTTGTTTTGTTTTGTTTTCTCTGGAACAGTTCCTGTCAGGGATGATTGAAGGTCTGAGGCCAAGCTGACAAACCCCCGTGTTTTAATTGGGAAAGGGGAGATTTTCAGGGAATATAAGAAGGCGGATGGAAAGGCTTTTTCCAGCAATGCCACTGCACAGTTGCTCTGACAGCAGGGTGTGGTGTGAATGCTACACCTGCAGGTGAAAAGGTGGAGTTTTGGGCTCAGAGACTGCTATCCATCCCTCAGGACATTGCTTGGAAGGTTTAACACACTGACACCTATTTTTGGCCAATAGATGAGCTCCTGAGCAAATGAGAATCAAACCTAGTGCATTAAGCAATGGGGTTTCAGAGCCATTGGGACTTCAGAGCCATTGGGGTTTCAGAGCTATTGGGGTGTGGCACAGCTCTGGACAGATCCCTTCTCCTCGTGCCATGCTGTCCCAGTGCACAAAGGGCTGGTCCCAAACTGCAGRGTGCTTTGAGATAAGCTGATACAAAGAGCTTGCTTTTAAAATATATTAATTCCTTAGCAAAGCCTGAACACCTTGTAAACTGTATCATTGGCAAGGCTCTCACAGAACTTGGGCTCTCTCAAAACACTGCTGGAAAAATGCTGAAGTATTTCAATGATGGTGAAAGGCATCAAACTAAAAACCTCGTTTTCAATTCCCCATCCAAACCATGGGGGAAGCAGCAATATCCCTGGGARGAAGGGGATTTCCTCATCCAGCAGCCCTTTTCTGTCCTGCCTGAATACAGCCCCCCACTGCCTTTCTTTTTGTCAGATGTATATGCACATATCGGGGGCAATTTGTGCCACTGTTCAAAAATATGAGCTTTGTGTTTATAAAAAGTGAATAAGGCTCATTATTTCAGTGGCTTTCTACAAGAAAATAGCAGCCAGGTGTTGAAAACCTTGTTTGAAAAGTGTTCATGGCCAGATATCTACATTGGACAGAGCTGCCTTGCCATGGCCTTGCTCAGTGCACTTGCACTCCCCTATTGTGACTCTTGCTCTTTATCTCCATGAACTCAGGACTCTCCAGCCACTCTGGAGGTTCCCTAGGTCTGATAGCTTCTCACTCCAACTGAAGAAGAAGGAATTCCAAAGGGAATTAACAAATCTTTGCAGTAATGAGACTGTCAGCTGAGAAAAGCAAGTTGGCATCATCAGGGAAAGATGCCGTGATGGAAAACAGGGGAAACGAAGGGAAAAGACTGCTCCTCAGAGGAATGGTGGGGGATGTTTGTTAGGAGGAGGGTACWGAGTCATGAAATGAGCTGGAGCTTCAGAGAAAATCAAATGGCAGGGAGAGCACGAGGCAGAGCACTGGGCATGCCAGTGCCTTTGATGCATGGCAATAATGAAAAACAAAAGCCAAGAAATTCTGTGGACAAACACAGAAGGAGGCCGGGGCTAACTGAGGATCTCTGCCTTGGTTTGGAYAGAGAGCAGCAGCAGCTCCTGGCTGTTTGCTGAGACAGGCCAGGGTCAGGTACCTGCCACAGCAGGGTCTGTCCCACTCCTCTTGGCAGGAATAGGGCCAAACGTGGCTACAGGCAGGAGAAAGCTCCTCCCCTGCTCCTGTTCAACTCTGCTGCCAGCATCTGTCATCCTTCAAAGGGAGAAGGAAGATCCAGCCTTTGCTGCAGGACMGCACCGAGCTGTGGTTTGGTTTATTGAGACCCTCCCTGTCAGGTCAGGAACAGCAATCCATGATCAGGGTGCCCTGGGGGAGGACAGCCCTGGCACTCTGGGGAAGAGCAATGAGGGCACCTCAGAGCCTCCATCCCTTCCCAGAGCTCAGCAAACTTGGGGAAAGTGGCAACCTGCGTGGGGCAGGGTGAGAAGGCAGGACAGGCTCCTYGGGGAGGTTTCCTGGGTTTGCTGTGCAGGCCAAGGGCTGGTGCTGATTTTGCCCAGGAAATGCCCAGCGAGAGCGCCAGAGCTGCTGCAGCCACCACAGAGATGGGCAGTGCCTGCTGAACAAGGGCACCTGTGTTTRACACTGGTTTCCTCATGAGATCCTTTTCCTAAATTCAGTTGAGTTACAGTGCTTGTGAATTTAATCCCAAACCACAAAATCAATGATAAATCTGAATACTTTTTTGCCGTATAGTCTCTTTTTTTTGTTGTTGTTTCATAAAGATTGCATCTCTTTTTTTCCATAAATTCTCAGACATKATATAACACAAGTGAAACCCAATACACCTAATTATCTGCTGTTTTAACCAGGCAGAAGCTCCTCTGTAATTAATCTGTGAATCTATTTGGTCCAAGGTTGGTCTCCCATTTCAAAGATTGATTACTGTCGATAATTCTTGTGTGATTGATTACTTGAGTGCAGATTGAGTTTCCTGGGTGACAGCTGCAGCCTTTGCAGAGAAAACCTCATTGACCCCAGTTGTAAAGTGATCTCTTGCATGGACCTCAAATAGCAAGTTATGGATGGGACATATTTTGTACGGTTTAATTGTAGTTAATGATAAAGCTGAAATAGTTCATTGAAATATCTTAAAAGTTTTAGAATTGAAGATAAAACAAGGAACCTCAGCAAATCAGGGTCTCCTCCACATTTTCTGCTTCTAAGGAGTGTTGGCTTTCTCTCACTTTACTCTCACTCAGCCCACCAACAGACGTGCCCTGAGCCCAGCAGGTTTATGGAACTAGGAGTAGTATTTCTATTTTTACCTGTATTTTTCTACTCTAGTCCCAGCTAGTRCCAGGCAGAATAGAGATTTATGGTTGGCTTGGCTTTTAGAGRAAAGCATTGCCAAATGTCTCTGAAATAAAAAGGAAGGTTCGGTTCATTTAAGGTGACTTATCTAAACTCCAGGCTGCTTTTGAATTTTATCCAAGCCAGTTCYTCCCTCTCCATTTGCAAGAGTTATATATAGGAAATGGAGATRAATTGGAGTCCCATTTGCATGGTGGGGTTGTTGCAGAGCACGGTGACTCGTGTGGCACGGGCAGTCAGGATGGAACACGCTGGTGGAACTCGGG